CTGGAAAGGTGAAGAAAAAATTAATTAATTTGTACCATGAAACTGTTCTGTTATGTGGCACCATACACCTTTGGCTTACAGAAATAATTGCCGTGTCTGTGCAGTGGGTAGAGGTAATTTTTCCTGTTATTATATTACGGTGTTGTATTTTTTTTGGTGTAGTTGTAATAACATTACATGATTGGTTTTATGCCATCTTGGTACCACGGTGAGGGTAACCCTTGACCCACGCCGATCAGACACAGACGAAACTGGCCGGATGGAGGGTGTGGTCATGGTGTGGTACAGCTGTTCCTGACTCAGGATATATATTGATTCGTTGTGTTTACTTTGTACTGTTCAAGTGTATTATCTGGCAGAGGTTAAAGTTGAGGTATTGTTGAGGTTAAGGTTGAGGTTAAGGTTAAGGTCCAGACTGAGGCTGAAAAAAAGATTGAGGTTGATATTAAGGTTTAGGCTGAGATTAAGCTTGACGTTAAGGATAAGGGTGAGTTAAGGTTGAGGTTAAGGGTGAGGGTAATGTTTAAGTTAGTGGTAAATGATTAATCGATGTTGATGAATATGTGATGGAAAAGGTTAAGTTGAATTCTATAGTGGTTCAAGCTGTGGTTTCATATGTTGCACTCATTTTCCTTACAAGTTTTTGTACAGTACATACTCTCACTGAATCTATTTCCATTATATGAAGAATTGTGTATAATTCCTGCTGAGTGTAGTCATAAGCATACCGAAGAGGGGAGGGGGGTGACGAGGGCCATGTTCTCCCCTTGAACTTGAAGAATATTCCAATTAAATCATTCTTAACAAAATGAAAATACAAAATAAAAATGATAATGAACTAAATAAAAATAAAAGCATTTCACTAACAACGTCAACAGCAACGAGGGTATAGAAAAAAAAATAGCTTGTAATTCAACAATACCTTCATAAGTTTAGTTCAAAGTTCGCTCCCTCCCCCTTGGCAAATTTATGGGTACGCCAATGAGTGCAGTACATTTTGAATTGCTTTTGAGGGTTACTAACAAAAACCTGGTAAAGGGTGAATTATTTTAGAGTAATATAATTCATTCCCGGTTGTATAATTTATTAAAAAAATCATGAATATAATTTAGTTTTTTTAATTACACCAAAAACATAAAAAAAATCAAGGATTGTGGCAATACAAGTACTGTGTATACTTATCAGCTCGTATGACAGCTCTGTACAGAAGTGTGTCATGAAATATCCCTGCAGTCGACCTTCCCTGGGTGACGTACACTACTTCACGTATATACGAAGCGTTTACGGGTACTTTAAGCGCAGTTGCATTGTGTTCCTTGCTTTCGTCAAAGATATTGGACGAAAATCTCCATTGTTCTTTGGTATTGGCACAATTACTGCTTCCTTCTACTTAAGAGGGATGCAACCTCCACCATAAGTCATATTAAACAAGTCTAACAGGGGCCCTTCTCTAATACTACCGAGACATTTAAGGATATTCCATCATCACCAGGTGCCGTAGACTTTCCCTTTTTAATCGCATATAATAACTCACCTCTCGTTATAGGAACAAAAGTGTACACTGACTTTGTACTAACTCACGCCTAAGTCTACTCTTACTTTGTAATGAGGCCTGCTCACACTCAGATAATTCGGCAAAACTAGCAGTCCCAGCCCATTTCCTAATAAGTTGACTGGCCCTGCCCTGTGGGTCAGCGTAGCTGTTGCCATTGCGTCGAACACCTCTCACTTTATTCACTTCCTTCCATATGTCACCCAAGCTCTTGCCTTTAGCGATTCTCCATAAAACGTCTGTCCAGCATTTATTCCGCGCCTCTTGCTTGATTTCATTATCATTTGGATTTACACTCCATTCTTTTTGCACCTTTCTAAGGAGTTTATTCCAGCCCTGAAACAATTTGTCATTCACATACATATTACGTTTCCCATGATTTATTTCTCCTTTATAACTACACTTACTTGTCGTCAAAACGGAATGAATAATGTGTAATAAATCATCATATAAGCAAACAACATCCTTTGGTTCATAATCTGTATACCAATCCTGTATAGTTGTGATCAACTCCTGTTTATTCTTTTTTGTCTTCCGGCAACCAATATCTTTTCATCTTAATTAACTTCTATATTTGGTAACATGAATAGTAATTCGTAATGCAAAATGATCACTAAGCAAATCCCTAACTATGTCAGCATTCGCTCTTATTCCACATGTATTAAACATACTACATAATCTAACCTTCCTCCATATATGTGGGTAGGCTCATGATTTCACAATATTTCAATATCATCAAACTTCTCCAAGAAGTGTAACTATCTCCTTCCATTAATGTTGCTGGGTCCCATAGTACCCAGGACTTCGTGTCTAGCATTAATATCACCAACAAAAACACTAGCAGCATTAAATAGGCACTCTGGCATGTCATCAGTATCCAAGCTTTGAGGATGTACATAGATGTTAACAATACATTTGACCTCCCTCGGACGTAGATTTTGACACGCAAACTTTCAACCCCATTCTGCTTGTCAGCTATTACCAATTCAACCGGTACATTTTTCTGAACATAAGTTAACAGACCTTTTGTATTCTTTATATTATTAGCTGGTAAACAGAAACATTGATAATCACGTAAATTCATCAAATTACCATCCTCTGTGCCCGTCTCTTGTAAGGCTATAACATCCACCTTATACAACAGTACATAAGCATGCACATCTGTGGTCCTAGGACTTAAGCTATTTACATTCCATGAAAGTATAAACTAGGTGTGCTCCATTTTCCCCATTAACAACAGAAACTAACCTTATTCTCTCATTCACAAACTGTTCCATTACTTCTTTCACTCGAGCTTATACCTTATCATGCAATACTTCGGGTTTGTTACCCCACTTGCGGGTTATCTCTTCCCTTATGTCCACATTTCCGGTCCCCCATAGCAAATATGGTCTGTCAAAGTCAAAGTTGTTGGGGATTACTGGCCTCTTCGCCGTTAGACTATTTCGGCCGAAGCTGATTGGTTGGACTTCTTTTTTTCTTGTTTCTTCTTTTGTTTTCCACTATCCATTCTTTTTCTTCCTGGTCTTCTTCTTCCTGGTCTTCTACTAGGATATTCTCATACACGTCAATAAGCGATGTTAAAGATAGTGTAATGTTATCGGGTTCTTTGGTCTTGTTCTTGTCTTGCTTGTTCTTGACTTGGTTGTTCTTGTCTTGCTTTTTCTTTTCTTGATTTTTCACTACAAGGAGGGCCTCCTTGTAGCTCAGTTTTTCTTTAGCCCGCAGCTTGGCCACCCTGCACTCCTCCCTCCACTTGGGACACTCCCGGTCGGAGGAGGAGTGAGGGCCACCACAAGCTGCGCACTTCATCACGGCCGCCAAGCAGTCAGCGTCATTGTGCCCGGGTGTCCCGCAGCTTGAACACACCTCCCGAGCACGACACTTCCGCGCCAAATGGCCGTACTTCTGGCAATTGTAGCAACAAGTAGGTTTTTTCTGGTACGGTTTTACTGGGATTTTCTCCCAACCCAGTAAAACGGAGCTAGGAAGTTCCTTTGGGAAGCCAACCAGGGCAGCTGTGCTGGTCAGCTTCCTAACATAGGCGATCTCATCTCCGATCAGTTCAAAAATTTCTTCTCCTTCGAGATATTCGATTTCTGTGTGGGAGATGACTCCCAAAACCGAGTTAGCAACAAAGTCGCATTTAAGTTTGATCTGGATTCCATTGATTTCTTTAATATGTCTTAGTTGCCTGGCCCCTCCCCACTCCGCGAAGGTGACGATAAGGTCACCGCTGTCACTGCGGACGACCCTTGTCACCCCCGTGATTCCCGAGGAGTCAAAAAACTTCCTCAGGACAAGGAGGTTTAGTTCTTTGCGCGAAGGGTGCTTGATCGGAACCAGTCTAGCGACCTTCGCCTGGTCAAAGGTGAACATGGTCACGCGGTACCTCGGGAGCAGGGAGAACCTACCTCGCCGAGGTTCAGTTCTCAAGTGAGGTCTGTCAGATTTTATTACTGTATTATTTTCAACCTTCTTTCCTTTTAGTTCAACATCCACATTTCTATGTTCCAAAAATTGGCACTTACCTTCTGGTTGTCCTTTACCTTTTTTCTAAACATCTGAATTTCTTGCCTGAATTGAACTACTACACCATACACATCACCAAACTTGTCAATTACCTTATCTTCTGGAACAACTTTTGGTGCAGCTCCTGCACCATTTCCTGTTACCTTCAACGTGTCACTCTGTTCCATCCTCTTCTTCCACACGTTCTCAGTTGAAGGTAGAGTTGTCTTACCTGCAACTCCTCGTCCTTCCTCCTTTTCTCACTTTTGCATTTCCTTCGTGCTCTGCCACCACACACCACGTATCTGTGGCTTCTTATCGCAAATTGAGGAACCTGCATTCTGCGCGCCTGCACAATTGCATCAGCACGGCACAACATGTTGCCCAGACTTTATTTTATTTCCACAGTAACGACACCGACATTTACTTTGACATTTCCAGGCCATATGGCCCCACCTGCTGCACTTATAACACAGAACAGGTTGTTCAATAAACTTTGCAATTCTCCTATATCCTATTCCAGAAATTAATATCTTTTCCAAAACGTCTCCCTTCATCAAGGATACCACTTGGTTCTTCTTCTCACCACGGATTTCGTGTCGCTTTGCCCATACGAATCGTGTTTCGTCATGAAGAAAATCAGGATCCAGTATAACAGGGTACATGAAGACGATCACTTTGGTGTGGTGTTCTGCGTCCTGAGGCATCGTCATTATCACTTCCTTAAATCCTGTCGTCGTCAAAAACTTTACCGCCTCATCCCCAGCTACAGTCAGATAGGAATTATTACGACCTTCCTTAAGCAGAGGTTCAAATTTTTTATGCTCTGTTCCCAGTGTTGCAGCCCACAGCAACCACTCATAGAATGACATGCGTAAATCACTTGGAAAGTTAAACATCCTCCTACCTGAGCTGTTTCCACTGCAACTCCCAGACT